TTTCTGGGATAAATGCCCAAGAGTGCAGTTGATGGCAACTGCATGTTTAGTTCTATAAGAAACAGCCAGGGGTGCCTGGGTGGCTCAGTGGGTTAAAGCCTCTGCTTTCAGCTCAGGTCATGATCCCAGGGTCCTGGGATCGAGCCCCGCATCAGGCTCTCTGCTTGGCAAGGAGCCTGCTTCCTCCTCTCTCTGCCTACTTGTGATCTCTGTCAAATAAATGAATAAAATCTTAAAAAAAAAAAAAGAAAGAAAGAAAAGAAACAGCCAACCTGTTTTCTAGAGTGGGTGTACCATTTCACATTCCCACCAGCAACTGTACATTGAGTGACCCAGTTTCTTGCCAGTATTTGATGTAATTTCTATTTTGTGTTAGCCATTCTAATAGGTATGTAGTGACACCTCATTGTGGTTCTAATGTGCATGTTGGGTGATGATATAGAGCATTTTTCTTATTTGCTTGTTATCTATCATTTTTGGTATTCATGTCTTTTGTCCTATATCTGTAGAATTTTGAGAATTCTTTGTATATTCTAGATACCAGTCCTTCGTTGGATATGTGGCTTGTAAATATTTCCTTCCAATCTGTAGCTTGTCTTTTAATTTTCTTTGAATGGGCTTTCGCAGAACAAAAGGTTTTGGTTTTGATGAAGTCCATTTTATCAATCTTTTGTGGATCATTTAAGAACTCCTTGCCAAAAACAAAATAAACAAACAAACAAAAAAACCCCTTGTCTAGCTCTGGATCCCAAAGATTTTTCCCTATGATTTTCTAAAAGTGTTAGATTTTTATGTCACAATTTACCTTGACATAATCTTTGCATGAAATGTAAAGTTGAGGTTGTGGTTACCCCCATCCTTTGGCTTATGGATGTCCAATTGCTACAGCACCATCGTTGAAAGGTAGCCTTCCTCCATGGAATTGCTTTTGAACCTTTGTCAAAAATCAGCTGAGCAAACTCAACAACAAAACAACCTAATTTGAAAATAGGGAAGGACTTGAACGGATTCCTCCAAAAAAGATGGCCAACAAGCATATGGAAAGATGCTTAACATCACTACCCATTAGGGGAATACAAATCAAAACCACAGTGAAATACCACTTCATTAGCATGACTACCAAAAAAAAAAAAAAAAGGAAAATAACAAGTGCAGATCAGGATGTGGAAAGCAACCCTTATGCACTGCTAGTGGGGTATAAAATGGTAAAGCTTCTATAGAAAAGTCTGGCAGTTCCTCAAGAACTTAAACATAGAATTATATGATCCAGGAATTTCACTTCTGGGTATAGAACCAAAATATGAAAGCAGGAACTCAAAGAGATATTTGTACACCAATGTTCATAGAAGCACTATTCACAATAGCCCAAGGTGGAAGCAACCCAAGTGTCCATCAACAGATGAATGGATATACAGAATGTGCTCTATCCATACAGTGGAATATTATTTGGCCATAAAAAAGAAATTCTGACATCGCAATATAGATGAGCCTTGAAAATATTATGCTAAAGTGAAATGAGCCAGACATAAAAGGACAAATATTATATAATTCCACTTATATTAGGTACCTAGAAAAGGCAAATACATAAAGAGTAGAAGAGAGGTTGCCAGGGGCCGGGGAAAAGGGAAATTGGATTTATTAAAGGGTATTAAGTTTCTCTTTGGCACGATGACAAAGTTCTGGAGGCAGATGGTGGTAACAGTTGCACAGCATTGACAAGTGTACTTTGTACCACTGAATTGTACACTTAAGGTTAAAATAGTAAACTTTGTTGTGTATATTTTACAATAAAATAAAAAAATCAGTTGCACCGATGTGTGTGGACCTAACTGCTTCTTTTCCTAATCCCTCAATTAGGTCTTTCCCATAGCTCCAACTTTAAAGCGGGACTTTTATCCATGCTTATTTATTTTTTAAAAGATGATCATAAGGTCACCAAATAGATTTTCCCTCACTGGAATTATATGCACTGCCCTACAAAGAAATATAACATAAGCAGTCAGTGATCCTATTCTTACTATGAGAAGCAAAATTGAATTGAATGATCAGAAGAAAGAATTCTCTGACATTAGTCAAGTCACAAACCTCAATTTTCTTAAAATAACAATAGTACTCTTATAACCATGATAATCAAATAGGTCATGAAAGTGTTTTGTAAACTGTGAAATGCTCTTCAGGTTTATTATTACATATTTTGCTGCTTTGTGTCAAAATGGGAGCAAGCTTTGCTGCAGCTTAAAACTAAGGCGCCATTTGGCTCTACACATTTCAGACCTCTCCACTTATGGACTTCAACTTTGCAGGTCCAAAATCTAATTTGGTCATTATACCATAAATGTCTACTGGGGCTAGACTTAACAGCAGTCATGGCATTAAGTGATTGACATATAAACCAGAGCACTAAGCCACTAGTTTACATTAGGGAATTGTGACCCATATCCAGAGCCTCTCCCTTCCCAGAATCAAACACCCACAAAGCCAAGCGTCATTGGAAAGATATTCTGAGCATGGATTCAGAGCAAACAGAAGCAAACTGCCTTGAGATATTTTTGACCCAGTGTTAAGCCTTATAAAAATATTCCTCATAATCAGGAACCCCTCCCCCCTCCAAGAGACAAAAATTGTTCGTTTTCACCAGGGGCAAGATCCTTCTTGCTGGAAGGTGCTAAATATACGTCAGCTCCACCTCAACTCACCATGGATTTGGGCTTTCTTTGCTGGCTTTCAGCCTCTAACAGACCCCTCCCAGTACACTTTGTGTTTTAGTGTAACACCATTTTGGCTACAGTCAAGTCTTATTTTATTCATGGTGCTATTTCATCTAAAATGTGTTTGTACATATGGGGATCTCACTCATCGTATGTTGATCTTATTAGAAAACTCAAATGTTCTGCCAAGATTCAGTAGTCCTTAGTTCCAAGGGACCTCTCTGATGGATGAGATCTACCTTGGGTCTCCTCCTAGCCTTCAGCATAATGGACTGGTCATTATTTTATATTTTACTCAAAATTTCTCAATTTCACTCTTGGCTCATATCATGGTTTTTCAAAACATTTGGATGAGTTACCTGGTGTCAGGAATTCTTGGTTTCTCCCTGTTGATTAGGTTCCCAGTGCCTTGAGTACATATTAGTTTTTTATTTTACCAGCTTCACAGTAAAGAGCATTTATATAGAGAATTCATTCACCTTTCTTCTCATAAAGGCCACAACAAATACTGAGAATTTTCATAAATGAAGAAATCTAAGGACAAAGCAGCTATGGCACATTGGAAAAAAAACACTGGACTTAGGACCTGAATAGGGAAGGAATGCATGTGTCTGTGATGGAAGGTGGAAATGAAGGTAAGACTATTTCTTGAACAGTTATTACTGTATGTACCTTCTTTATCTACCTTCCATCATGCAGTTTCTCCATGTGACCAAGGCTCTAGGTTTGTGCTCTGCCACTTTTCAATTTTATGTATTTGAGTAAATTAGTTTTCCTTGTGGATAAAGTCAGGGTAATATGTACTTCAGCGTCTTTTTGTGGGGAACTAGAAGAGTACTGAAGTGTGTACTATACAGCAAAGCAGCACACAAAAGTATTGTTTGTTTTTTTCTCACAGAAGTGTTGTCTTAGGCATTTACAACTCATTATGGGAAGATATGAGAAAAGGGAAAGTTCACTGTGGCCTATAAGAGTTCAGAGAAGCTTTACAAAATAGAATTTGGGGTGGGTCTTTATGATGTGCATTTGAATTATCTGGGAATGGGGAAAGGGAACACTCAGAAAACCAGTGGCACAGGAGCAAAGGTGTTGGGGGCAGTGGAGAGCACAGGGCTTTGGCACTCCTGAAGTAGGTCACAGGACAGGAGATGAAGGGCCTACATTTAAAGTAGTAGCAACAGGTGGAAAAAGACAAATCTGTTTATGAAAACCTGGCAGGTTTGGTGAGTGGTTTAACAGTGATAACACAGGAGAAAGTAAAGACATTTCTAAGAGTTTGAGGCCAGAGGGTCAGAGGGAGGTGGAGGGTGTCAGTGACAGAGATGGGTGAACCAAGAAGGGGCACCAGTGGGGAAGATAGTAAGTACAGTTATGTGCAGGCTGGGTTTAGGTACAGCCATGAAAGGCAGGATGGCATCTCCTCCTCACATTGTGAAATTTTTGTCTGTGACACTTCAGTTACACTGGAGACACGAAAAAACCAAATACCATTATAAGCAGCTCAGAATACTAGAGAGGACCTGTTAACTGAGTTCCTCTGAAGGGATCATGTGGACACTGACCTCCAAACTAGAACCAATTATGACTGCTAAATTTAGGGAAAAAATTTTCTAATGTATACCTTGCTAAAAGAAAATTCTTTATTTCAAAGAGGATCAGGTATATAAATAGTAATTGGCAATTCTATCATTTGACACAGGAGAACTTTAAAATACCTTATTCATTCAGCTTTGTTCTGGCCTAATAGGTATATTATGATGGGCTGTAGATGTACATAGAGGTAGAGCCTAAATTTCAAGTTCCTGAAACTCTCCAAGTAGCATTTCCTCATCTGTGAGGCAAGAGGGTTGCCCTAACTGATGCACTACTCCAAAATCCTGACAGAGAAGCCGTGTACTTTGAAGATTTCAGTTCCAACTCTTACCACCAGATGTCACTGTTGCTCATCAAAAATAGGGAACTTCCGGGGACTGACTCAAATGTAAAAAAACAAAACCTATTTATTCCCATTAAACAAATATTTATTGAACATTTATATGAGACAGGCACTAATACTAGGTGCTCTGAATGAAAAGGATCATCATGGCCTCAAAGATACTAAAGGAGAGGGGCGCCTGGGTGGCTCAGTGGGTTAAGCCTCTGCCTTCGGCTCAGGTCATGGTCTCAGGGTCCTGGGATCGAGCCCGGCATCAGGCTCTCTGCGCAGCAGGGAGCCTGCTTCCCTTCCTCTCTCTCTCTCTGCCTGCCTCTCTGCTTACTTGTGATCTCTGTCAAATAAATAAAATCTTAAAAAAAAAGTACTAAAGGAGACATGGAAGCAATCACACATCAATGCCCCAATAACATAGAAACATTAAGCCAAGGAATCAAACTCTCAGTGAAAATCAACATACCATCTCTTTAAGGTACAACATTGCTTCCTGAGGGGTACCTATCTCTGATTCTAAACCTGGGTTAAGTGTCGCACCCCCCCTCCCACCACGCTGGATGTTATTGCTGCTACCTCTCCCTAGCATTCAACAGGCTTTCTATAATCACTTAATGGCGGCCTTCCCTGCTGGACTTTCCCAAGCTTACCACAGTACCGACGGGTGTAGCAGTCATTTGTAGAGTTTCCTTCCACATCAGGTGCTGTGCTAAGATCCCTACAGTCACCACTGCATTTTACCATCCCTCTCAGCCACTAATATTGCCCCCATCTTACAGACGACTTGGGTAATAGGTGGCAGAGCTGTGAACCCAGGACTGACTTAATAACATGTAATATCACACCCACCTAAGCCACTTTTAAGAACTTCATTATCTGATGCCAATCTATTCATCCAGCTAATTTACCACTCTCTTCCTTGAATGAGCAACCCCACCTTTAATTACATAATGCTCAGTACCCTTCCAACACTTTGCTTTTGTTTGCCCTATCCTCTGGCAATGGCCCAGGCCAACTTCTCTCAAATGAGTATTTATTTGGTTTAACAAATCAGTAATATACTCATCTGTTAGAACAATTTTCTGAAAATTGTTCCCAAATTTGTTCTACAGAAGGCTTATCCTTCGTGAAACAATTGCTAGGACTGCCTACCAGGATCTCCTATCAGGTCTATTGGAACCTGAGAAAATAGTTCCTAGTAATAGTTTTTATTTTTAAAGCATTTTTCAGACTCATATAATGACCTATAAGCTATATAGGACTGTAGAAATTACCTAGCTCACCTTCTCATTTTATACCTAAGATTGAGAAAACTTGGATTTAATCCAAGTTTAAGAGTCAGTGGTGAGTCAAGACCATGCTGTAACCTCTTGCCTAACTTTATTAATTTATGGTAACTATGGCCACTCAATTTCATAAAGGCCAACATTTCTAATACCTGTTGGCATCTATGATTTGACTGCCCAGGTTCTAGTCCCAAACCTACAACCCTCTCTAGCTTTGTGACCCTGGGTTAGATATTTACACTCATGCCTCAGTCTCCTCCTCTGTCAAATAAGGATAATTCCTACCTCTTAGGACTGTTAGTAAATCTAAATGACATTATACATGAAAAGCACTTAGAATAGTGTGTGGCACATAGTAAATACTCAACAGATATTAACGATTATTCCTGTTTGATAAATATGCTTTAACCATAGTTCCTACCAAAGGTACACAACATTCTCTTTTTTTCTTGGAACTTAATCCTTGTTTTACTAAGGAATGACTGATTTTTTTCCAAATTGAAATAAATACAAGGCAATTGATATGTTCACCTTCTTTACTAACACTACATTTACCATATTATCACCATGGAATGTAAATTTAGGTTAGACAAGAAAATTTCACAAATTTAATAAAGCATTCTGGAGTATACCAAAGTTTGTGTATTATGTCTGACCAAACTACCTTGCGAATAAATCATCAATCACTTCAACTATAGGTAATTTGTTAACATTTATGATTCTTACAGAGAAAATAAACAAGCTTCATACATTTAAAAAAGTGTTTTTCACTTAATCTTTGCATAGTACTTAAAATACACATTTCAACATTTAAAAATTATCCTAATACCACAGCAGCATAAATATAACTCTGCAATTACAAAAAAAACTAAACTGGGATCCACAGTTAGGTTATTCTCATGTTTACAAGTATGATTCTGAAATAAATACTACTTCTAAACAGCTCTTTATCGGCTTTTTAGGTTTGGTTTAAATAAATGTATTTTAGGTTGTGGGGAAGCTTACTATATTCCATGCACTGTTCTGAAAGGATTAAGAGCCAACCAGTCCTAAAAACTAAAGTACCTGATCAATCTGCAAAATAGGCAGAAAAAAATTAAATGGAATTCCTACATAACATCAAAAGCATGTTTTGATACTAGAATCAAATCAGCAACTAGGAGTACTTCAGGACTGGCACACTGTCCTCTTTATAACTGATTTTATCATAAGAGTTTAAGGAGGAGCATATTTTACCACTGTCCAGTCCATTTAAAAGTGACATGTTTCTTCTTTTGTGCTAATGTGACTCCCCTGAATGACCTAGCGAGTTGACTGGTCACTAGTAATTTGGTAACCAGGCAAATCAAGCCTGCAAGAAAGGAAGCCAATACTTAAACTACTGTATTATTTGACCCATTCAAATGATTCATTTTCAACATAAACATATAAACTCAATATGAGATGCCTAACTAAAGCAAACACCACCAACAAAACCGAGACAGCTTCTCTTCTTCTAAGGTTTAGGCTTTGCCCAGAATTCCTTATACATGGAATACCCCATACCTAAAGAAAAAAAAAAGTAGTTAAACATTTAATATTTTCCATGATATTAAGAAAACGGAAAACAGTTCATAAAATAGCTAAAAGTAGCACCTTGCTAGCATGGAATATTTACAAGGGGAACAAGATCCCAGGCTGTTTATACTCTTGCCTTCTTTATTTAAATTTCTGAAATTCTTTTTATATAGGTTCCCAGTAGCTCGAGGCTAGTGTGACTACTTCAGACTACTGAAATATTTGTTTTAAAGAACAATTAATATTTATCTTACAACTTTAAAAGGAGTTACTCTTGCCATGTAACGTAAGTAAAGTCAACAAAATTATAAAGCCAATAAAAGACTATAATACCTACATTAAAAAAACATTTTCTGGGGCACCTGGATGACCCAGTCAGTTCAGCATCTGACTCTTGATTTTGGCTTAAGCATAATCTCAGGGTCCTGAGATCAAGCCCCGTGTTGGTCTCCCCATTGAATGTGGAGGCTGCTGAGATTCTCTCTATCCCTCTCCCTCAACCTGTCTCACCCCCTTGGGCTCTAAAAAAACCAATAAATTTTTCCACTTTCAAAAATTCAATAAAAAAAAAAATTCAATAAAATAATAGTCATATGTCATATGTCTCTCCCAGATAATGGCTCTTACTACCAACCCTATTTACATATTTAGACTCCAGTAAAATTATAAGTTCTATGATGGACAGAACGGCCTTTTTTTATCTTTAAAACATGTAAAACAAATAAAACATTTACTGTATCAGACAGTAAAAACTGTGTCACTAATTGAACTACCTTTATTAATACAATTTTTATGCAAAAAATATAAGTGACATTTCAAACTATTTCAAAGTCAGCTAAAAGTACCTACCTTGATTTATAAAATCTATTAATGCAAATTAGAAACGTGAAAATTTCCTCTAAGAACCTACCAAGAGTCATTGCTCCCACAACAAAGCCTTGGGCTGCCACACGCATGTGGATCAAGTGAACAGACATTTTAGTATTTCCCCTGCTCTTCAATTTATATAATCCATATGCAACAATTGCTGCAAACCCGGCCATTCCTGTAAAACAAAGTGTCACAAGTATGTCATTACATGGGGTCAGGGAAGCAAGATGACTTTACTATCAATCAATGTAAACCTCTACTATTTTTACAAAGATGTTCTATTGAAACCATTAATTAACTAACACACAAATTGAGTTTTTAATTTTCCCTCTTAAAATCCAAAACCCATAATTGGTAGTAAACAGTAGCAGATTCAGGAAGTTAAGATTATCTTCAAATTGTGGGCTGTGCAGACAGTAGGATGCTTTAAGAGTGCCAAGGGAACTCTTCCTCTCAGTCCTATTTCCTTCCCTGAGAGGAATCAGTTAACATAGCAGAGACTGTAATAAACCATAACTGTGAGGGTAAGCTTTTTTATTGAGCCTTGTTGAGTCCTTCTAGCAAATCACTGAGACTGAGGGTGGTCATGGGGTCCCCCAACACATTCACTGAAATGAGAGTCAATAAATGAAGGCTGAAGACACATAGAAGAATTTTTATAGACAGTGTTGTATCAAGGCAATCTTACATATTTCAACAACATAGGAACAAAATATATGAAAACAAATGCTTTCAGGATGTGTCTGGTGAATGAATTGACCACACTTCTACTGATTTATAGCTTTCAACAAACTGATTATTAGAACATCAAAGTCAAACTTACCAATGGGAACAAACGGTGCCTCTCTAGCTTTTCGGATAAGTTTAGATCCCTGATCTTCATCATATGAAGAAAGAGAAACATCTGTGCCAGTTGACATAGTGGCTGAAGAATCCTCCTGAAAGAGAATTTCCAGGAAGTTCTACAATTAAAAGCATCTTGAACACTGAATGGCTGGATGTACTTAAAATGCTCCTACTTTCCACCTAAAAACCTGGTATGTTGTCCATGAAGTTTAGAAAGTATTTTTTAGAAATTAACTATTTTTAACCTGTAGCTATCTTTAGGAAGAATTGTATTTATCCCCCCCCATTGTTTTGATGTTCATCCCATACAACCAATTCCTTTTTATTTATTTATATTTAAGTAGGCTCCACACCCAGCATGGAGCCCAAGGTGGGGCTTGAACTCACAACCCTGAGATCAAGACCTGAGCTGAGATCAAGAGTCAGATGCTTAATTGACTGAGCTACAGGGCACCCCAACCAATTCCTTTTTGGCAGCACGTTGCTGATAACAGTGAAAGTTTTGTTTTGTTCTTTTAAGATTTTATTTACTTATTTGACAGACAGATCACAAGTAGGCAGAGAGGCAGACAGAGAGAGAGAGGAGGAAGCAGACTCCCTGCTGAGCGGAGAGCCCGATGAGGGACTCCATCCCAGGACCCCAGGATCATGACCTGAGCCGAAGGCAGAGGCTTTAACCCACTGAGTCACCCAGGCACCCCAAATTTTTTTTAATTGAAATAACTTTTGTCTTGCTTTCTCAAATAAATAAAATCTTAAAAAAAATAAAGCTTTTATTTTAAATACTATTGTTAGAAATGCCTCTTTTTAAGCATAATTTATGTTCAGTTGAACATAATATAGCCTTTTGGGTTGTTTTTTTTTTTAACCTAGGGTTATCATTTTTAACATCATTGCAGCAAAAAAACAATCCTCAGGACCTTCTTAATGAATGAATGTCTCCTAAGCTTCAGCTCGACTTTCCTTTACATACCTTACATTCCCTGGACCTCCCTCTTAAGACTCTCTACCTTCTTTTATAGAGACCAAAGACTCCATTCTCCCTTTTTCAGTCATCTCCTTTTACACAGGAAGCTATTTAACAGGTGTTTCATCACAATGAGAAAATAACAAAGTCAGTTTCACCTTAGTCAAAATAAATATGTATATACTTCCCTCTTCACTGAGCTGATTTAAACTGCCTGTAAATGTTACCCATAGATAAAAGAAGGGAGTCAAACACATGTTAAGTGTACAAGTCTGATTAGTGTCAGTTACAATAACTTCAAAAGTCAATTGCCCATCCCACTACCCATGTAACATCTTACCTTCACTTCTGGGTTTTTTCATGTGCATCACGCATCATACTCCCTTCAATAACCACTCTCATTCAACACTTTGCTATTGCGGGGGTGTGAGCCATAGGTAAGACCCTCAAAGAAAAGCCAACTCTAGAGGGCGGTGTACTGCTTAGTTTGAAAAGTGAAATCATCCTTCTGAGCCCCCATCCCCATTGGGAAGAATCCAATTCTATCATCTGACAAAGAAATCCTTAATCCCAGGACCCCGAGATCATGACCTGACCTGAAGGCAGAGGCTTAACCCACTGAGCCATCCAGGTGCCCCAGGAATTATCTTTAAAAACAAGAAAGTCAGTGGTCTTTCCTCTAATCCCTCACATCTGGATCAATAAAATTTTCAACAGGTCCGTGGAGCAAAAGTCTTTTCTCCCTCCTTCAGGAAGACAAAGGATGGCAGTCTCTTTCCTGTACATACATGAAAAGAAAATCCACTCATCTCCAGTCCTCACCTATGATACAGAATCTAAAGTTTGTATGAGTAGGTCATCTGATCAGATTTTCAGAAAGTAATCCTTAGAGTAAGAATAAGGGTGTGGGGGTAACCATGTGGTCATTATTTGCTTTCAGTGACTAAAGATAACCTGTCTCTGATGGAGAACACCCTGTGGCACACTTAAAGACAAAAGAGGGATATAAAAAGTCCAACACTCACACCACAGATTAAACTATAATTCAAATTCTATTTCTCTACCTAACATACTATATATTTTTTATAGTATAGTATAGTATACAACACTCCTTGCATATAAAATTTGGTAATTCTCTTCCTAATTACCATCTGACCTAAGCATTCATGATTTGCAGCCATACAAATGGAAAATGGCTAACTTTTAAAAGTACCAGGATCAGTAACTAAGAATCATATAATTTGATAATAACCAGATGATTAATCCATGCCAATAGCCTATTTTTACAGAAGGAAAGGGGTTATATGAATTGTTCAACACCAAGAATATATCTCTGGCCGGCAAGGATTAGAACCCAGATCTCCTAACACACAGTTCAGAGTTCTTCTAACTGACAATATATTGCCAAAGCACCAATGTTATGACGCTGATAATACACTTAATCTGAAAAAGATTAAAATTCATTTCTTAACAGAAGCCTGCATTTCTTTCTTTCAATTGTAAAAAATATGCAAGTCATGCCTAAAATTAAATGGAACTTTCTTCCCTAGTGACTTAACTCACCCACCAATTTCAACTGTGCTTTGAATAGACCTTTTTCACTCGCACCACTTCTAGATTTTCCTTTATTTTAATTTTATTTTAATTTTAATTAAATTTATTTTAATAAATTTTATTTTATTTTAATTTTTTATTTTAATTTTCTTTATTTTAATTTTCTCACCTGACCATTGCAACCGACCCAGATCTCTGTCAAAAAGTTGAACAGGTACAAAAAGAGGCATCAATGATCGATGATATTCAAAGCCAGTTTGAAAACACTAAATATTCCCTAAACTTAGTAAGATACTACTGCAGACCTTTCCAAATGCATGGGAACCTAGAAAAGACCTCAGGGAGGATGAGCTGTCCAGCGTGAAGTGATGTAACAGACTGAAGGATCTTCACAGCCTGTCAATTTGGTCACAGGAACTAGTAACAACAAGGGCTTCAAATTCTGATTTTCCATCTGTCACCTGTCAGCTTGTTTAAAATGGCTGCAAAGGCCCCACCCTGGAGATTCTGATTCAGGGGGTATGGAGCAGGGGACCCAAGGAATCCGTATTTTAAGAGGCCCCCTTCGATTGATTCTGGGGCACAAGGAAGTAACAGATGCCCTGGGATACAGGACTCAAACTTGCGTGTCATGCTGGGGCCTGATGCCGCTTCGATCTGTCTGAACTTTTCCATCCAAACCGGTCAAACTCGAAAGTGCCTGCGTGCTTCTGGAAGCATAAATCCTGCGGTGGGGATTACCCCACAGAGGGAACTAGCTGCAGCCCGCACCCGTGATGGAAGGGAGAAAGGCGAGTAACACCGCCGAATCATTTCAGCGGCTCCCAATCTAAACCCGCGCTCTGTTTTCCCATCTCTCACTGGCTGGCTTAGCTTTCAGGATGAAATTTAAATTCCGTCGCAGATGCAGATGCTTCCTACAGGGCCTAAGGCCTTCATACCGTCCCCGGGTAGGACAGGGTCGCCCAGCGTGGGTCGCCCAGCGTGGGAGGAAACCCGCGGTTCGGGAGAAGAGTAGGGTGGTGTGGTTTTACGCCCTCAACCTTTCGAACCGCCCCACCCCCTGTCTCCTCGCGTGACCTTGTCTGGACTCCAAGGCCGGAGCGCTCGCCCTCCCAAGCCCTCCTCACTCACCGCGCGGGCCGGCTCTCCGGAAGACTCCCCGCTTCGGGAACTATCCGCGTTACCGGCTCCCTGAGGTCGGCCCCAGCCCCCACCATGGCTCTCTCGTTACCGCCCCCTCCGCGAGTCTTCCTTCTCGGCCACGATTCACTCCACAAGCTTCTATTTCATCCCCTCACCGGACAGGCCGTGAGACCCCCCCCCCCCCAAATTTCCCTGAACCACGAGGTCGGGCCCGAGACCAGCCAATTTCTACTTTCCCCCTTCAACCCGGCCATCGCCCCCCTCCTTCCAGCCCCGCGGCCCCCACCACTCCCAAGGCGCGCTCGGCGCAGCCAAGCGCTGCCGCACTTCTTCCCGCCCCACGGTCGCGTAGCCTCCGCTCCCAGGACTCCCTCAATCTTCACGTACCTACAGGGACAGGACTCAGGCTCCAAACGGTTTCTGGCTCTCACCCACGCTCGCCGTCCAGCCGGCTTCTTCTCGTCCCGCCCACACCAAGCCCTAGCCAATAAGAAGCCAGCGCCCGGCAGACGAGGGTCCGGGTGGGTGCGTGCGTGTGCGCGGTGGGTAGGGCGGGTCCCGGATTGGCCCGGGCGGCGCGCGTGGGCGGTGGCTCCGCGTCTCCAGCTCTCACGTAGGGATCTCGTCCTGCCTGAGAGTTCAGCGTCAGGGCTTCCGCGGGCGCTCTTCTGCGCAGCTGGCTCCCAGCCGGGTGGAACCTCAGATTTCTGTCGCGCGTTTCCTTTCCTGCAGCCGCGGCGAGCATCGCGAACATTGTGTTCCGCGCGCGGGCGGGGCGGGGCCGGGCCTGACGCGTTTTGACCGCAGCCAGTCCTTGGGAGGCTCGGGGGAGGACGTCCCTGTCTTCCCGGGCGCCGGCCGCGGTGAGGCGAAGGAGCGCTCGTCCGTTCCGTTCCCCTGGTGGTTCTGTGCTGCCGCGAACGTGCGCTGTCGGGCCTCTCGCGGAGCTTTTCCTGGGGTTTACAGTGTGGTGAGGGGCAGCCATTAGTCGCAAGCATGGGGTCGCTAGAGGAGACCTCACGCTGAATGGGGGGGGGGTTCTCTGAGAAGTGTCAGCGCCCCTTGGTGAGGGTGAACTTCGGGAGACAGCCCCTAACTTGTTCGTAGGACATAATCAGTCTGTATGGCGAATTGATGCGAAGCATCAACGACTGTGCCACCGGGGAGTTGCGGCTAAATTAGAATCCCGTAGTAGAACCGCGAATTGAGGCATATTGCCAATACTGTATCACACAGGTAGGAACTTTGTGACACTGCCTCCGGATTTTGAAAAATCCTTTGTCTCATAATTAAGACACATGTAGGAAACATTCATGCTATGGGTGAAGAATGAAAACTCCCATACCTTATCTGGTATGTTTTCAGCTACTTGAAGGCACATACTTTGGTTCATGCCCATCTCGGAGCATTGTCTTTGAGCTCAGTAGGAGCCCAATGGAGGGGCTGCAAAAATAAGTAGGGATAATCAGGGTCTTACTTAGGATAATTAAAACGACAAAAGAGCCCGAGAGATTTGAAAATGAAGGCAAGTCCTCAAGTCCTGTGATTCTGGAAATACAAAGGCTGACAGCCGCCGTGAGCGCATTCATTCCTGAAGGGGGTTTGTATAAATCAAAATAATGTTAGCTCATTTCCGGAGAATGAGATTTGGGAGCAGGGAAACTTGAGTGGCAGCCCCAGGCTGGCCACGTAGTAGTCATGACTGACGGCTTTACCTCTCAAAACTTCACTTTCTTCGTTTGTAAAATGTCGATAATAGTGGTGCTGGTTAGTGAGGAAATAACACGTAGAGTGTTAGAACAGTGCCTGGCTTGAAAAGTGCTTTAAAAGTGCTATTGCTTTAAAAAAAAATTCCTGTGCCGTGAATTGTATGGAAAGAGGCAGACCCTGCCTTATTTGTATGAGAAATTCTCTCTCTCATCGATATTTAGAACCAAAAGCTTGGTAAATGATAACTATCTGAAACAATCAGATAATGTAAAAGATTTTTTAATAGAAATTATTCTGCTACACTTTATTCCATATTGTGTTTCTGTAAAGTTTCGCAGGCGAGGTAAACACAACACCAGGCACGGTGGGCGCAAGGCAAGATTTATTAAAGGCATCTCCGGCGAAGTTTCGGGGCTCAGGAGAACGGGAGCCAGGAAAGTCGCGCGGGAGGAGGTGGGCACCCTTGGGCAAGGTTCCTCGACTCCGGAAAGGGGAGTGGGGGAAGTCGCGCTGGGAGGGAGGCGGCGGGGGTCTTTTATCAGGCCAAGGCAGGGCATGGGCTCACTTCCATATATGGTAGGGTATTTGGTGATCGGAGGGTATGAGGTGGGGGGTCCTGATACTTCTGTTTCCTGCATAGGTATCGGGTTACCTATGGAGACGTGACCTGGGCATACATCCTTTTGGCGGGAGAGTCAAGGGTTAAGGAAAGGGGGGAAGAGGAGGGGGCTGGAAGATGGCGGCCCGGCAGTCATTTCTTTTGTCCTCCTGCACTCCCGGAGCCCGCCGACCCAACAGTTTCAAGAAAAGCACAGCGACAACTGACAAACCATTACATCTTTTATAATGTAGACATAATTGGTAACAAATATACATCATGCGTTATTTCATTCTCCTTACTCTGTCATTTGGAAGTATAATTGATACAGAAGACATTAAAAATTATTTAGGTTCTCATGTATTAAACTAACCCACTTGTAGTTTATAGAGGAGAAGACAGTACAAGCAGCATCTGCCTATTTTGCTAATTTCCCCTCTTTTGAGAATCTTTGTAACTTCTCACGTTCCAAGTAGCAGTCTACACATGTTTGTATCTACTATAAGAGAAATGGGCTTCAAAACTCAAATGTCTATTTAGGCTGAGGCCCAGCTTAAAGCTACATTACCTTGTTTTTTTAATACCCTTCTTAAAACTACTTTGTGATCTTTGTGGAATTTTGTCTAAACCAAATGTTAAATCTTTTGAGCAAATTGGTAATATCTGCAGATATATTTTTTAAAGATTTTTATTTATTTATTTGACAGATCACAAGTAGGCAGAGAGGCAGACAGAGAGAGGGAAGCAGGCTCCCTGCTGAGAGCCTGATGGCAGGGGGGTGGAGAGGGGTGGGCTCTATCCCAAGATCCTGGGATCCCAGGACCCTGGGATCATGACCTGAGCTGAAGGCAGAGGCTTTAACTCACTGAGCCACCCAGGGATCCCATCTGCAGATATTTTTGAAACCACAGTTCAAAGTCCCTTTCAGCAATCATTGGACATGTATATTGTGTTGGGCACTGTTCTGGATTCAGAAGTTAAAGATTTAGTTCCTTCTCTGAGATGATTTATAATCTTTTTAGGTAGAAAGAACAGATATAGAAAAACATCAAAGACAGTTTATGATAAGTGCTTTGAATGCAGCTTCAGGTAGACATCCTAGTGAATACGCAGTTTCAGAGAAGGCTTCTTGGGACTGGGACTTGAATGAGTGAACTTTGAGGAATGATGATTAGCATGTAAATAAGTTGGGAGACTCTTTCAGAAAGAGGAAACAATGGGCAGAGGAATAGCAGTAGAATATGGAATTGTAGCTCCAGCATAGACAATGAGTGGGGAAAAGAAAAAAAAAAAAGAATTGTGACTAAAGCAGAGTCAGAATAATGGGAAGTAGGTTTAAGCTACATGGGAGAGGACTTTAAACACTGGTTAACTTGCACAGTATTCTATTAGGTGGCCCTTGAAGGTTTTGGAGCAGGATGTTGACAAGAATACATTGAGGTAGTTTGTAGTGAAGCAGAATGGATTAGAAAGGGAATATCAGTGTTACACAGCCAGAAAATTAAAAACTATTCAGTATGTAGCTCATTATATTATTTGTATTGAAGCCACATCCTTCGTCTCAAGGATATGGAAGGCTGCTACATGCAGGGGCGTCATCCCTCTAACCTCCTGGACAAGGACCGCTGCTTTGAAGCAGCAATTGTCCTTACAAAGCAGTTCCCAGGGAGAACTGCCAAGGCTGAGACATCATAAAATTCAGGGCTACTCATAATATGGGACAGTTTTGTACCTTTTACACTTTGCAGAGTCATGGAATAGTACTTAAACTGTTTGTTTTAAACAGAAATTTCCCAGGTACATTAATAGCATGTTTTAAAGTTTTATTTATTTAGTTTTAATTTTATTTATTTATTTTGACAGAGAGAGAGCATAGGCAGGGGGAGCGAGGGGCAGAGGCAGAGGGAGAAGCAGATTCCCCACTGAACCATGAGCCTGAAGACCCTGGAATCATGACCAGAGCCGAAACCAGACACTTAACCGACTTACCCACCCAACTGCCCTTAAAGTTTTATTTAAAGTTAGCCCACAAGGTAGGAGCTTTTAGGCAAACAAAAGAATCTCCTGTGGCAAAAAGTAATTGGGTCCCTCCCTGGACTGCTTATGTAAGTCTTCCAAGCGTTTTGTAAGAAATGCTATTTTTCGCCCCCAGGAGCAGCTGCTGATCACATCAGACCACCCTGTTCTGCTCAGGTGTGACAGGTTCTCTTTTTCACAACTTAATATATTTCAAAACATTAAGTCTGAGGTACCTTGTCCATTGCTCTGCCCTTTAGAAAGAATAGTTACAAAATGTAATCTCAAAGCTCTCCAGAGGAAGGAAAGTCACAACTACCTTTTACATTTTATGAGAGGCAGTATGATAGTGTTTAAGACCACAGACTCTGGAGCTTGCTTTGCTGCTTACAAGCTGTGTGTGATACTGAGCAAGTTACTTAATCATTCTGTGCCTCAGTTTCTTCACTTGTACAATAATAGGACCTATATAATAGGACTCTGGGGAGGCTCAGGTGATATGTAAAACTGCAACATTGCCCGGCATATATAGTAAGTGCTATATATGTTAATTATTATGACATTTCTGGTTTTGTTTTTGTGTGTGAATTCCTGGCAGTTCAGCTTAGCTAAGCTGTAAACACCACTGGTGGTTTCACTTGTGTGTATGTGTTTGTTTGGTTTCCATATTTAAAAGTCTTTTGGTTACAGAGGATTTGCATACAAATCATAAATATAAGATGCTCACAACCAGACTTTAAGAGAGCAGAAGCAAGGAACATCAGGGACTTTCTTTAATCTCTTCAGTTGACACTCTCTCCTACTTTTCTATCATTGGTTTCATTCAACCATGTAAAATATTTTTCCTATTAGTAACCAATAGGGCAGTAGGATTTGTGTCTTTAGATAGGGATATTTTCCGTAGTGAACTAACGTATTGTACTTTATTTTTTTTTTAATTTTATTTATTTATTTGACAGAGATCACAAGTAGGCAGAACAGGCAGAGAGAGAGAGAGAGAGGAGGAAGCAGGCTCCCCGCTGAGCAGAAAGCCAGACGCGCGGGGCTCGATCCCAGGACCCTGAGATCATGACCTGAGCCAAGGCAAAGGCTTAACCCACTGAGCCACCCAGGTGCCCCACATAT